GCCTTAGGGCTTTGCCCCAGCAGACAAACTGGCTTCATTGCTACTTGGCCCTGGCGAGGTGGATGCAGAGATGGGGCGGTTGGGGTGGGTGCTACATGGGGTCTGGGTCTGGGCAGTGCAGCGGGGCCGGAGCAGCAGGGTGCTCCGGGCCGAGGGCTGCGAGGGGCTGTGGGTGCCTGCTGCCTTGGGACCTGCTTTACAAGGGACCTAGACTGGCCAAAACACCAATCATGATTCCTGCCTTGTGGCCTGTGGCACTTTCAGCTCTGGTCTATAGGAAGTGAGGAAGGACCAGAAGTTGTGGGATTTTGGGGCTGTTAATCTTTGAGACCCAGGTACCATCTCTAATAGGTGCCTGAGGGACAAGCTAGATGAAGCAAGTCTGTGGATGCAGTAAAACACTACATGCACTTGACTTTTTTTAAAGGGATCCATGCTTTCTCCACAAAGCTTGTAGCAACCTATGCATCAAAAAGGATTCAAAATCAATGCTATATTTTTAGGATGAAGCTCAGTGTAGGAGACGAGACTTTCCTGGGACTGGTCAAAACCATTGCGAGAAGAGGATGTACAAGAGGATGTAGGTTCTGCCGCAGCCCTCCCACCTGCTTGCCTGCACAGCACACGTGTCTCCAGCACTGTGGGGGTTTGTTTGTTTTTTTGCAACTAAACAGTTAAAAATGCCTGGTTGTGGGTAGAAAGTACCCCAAAAAACCTCAGATACCTCTCTGCATGTGGCTCTTCTGTGTGGGGTGAGGAAGATGGAGCCAGTGTCTGCCAGAGACGTCATGAATGACAAACAGAGCTCAGATGCTGTGGGGACCAGAGCAGGGTGGGAGCCTGTGCAGCGAGAAGTCGGGGCGGGCTGGGGTGCACTTGCATCAGCGGGTCCTCCAGCAACATCTTTGAATATGCAGCTCTCAAATGGTCAGCCTTGCCTCTGTGCTGTCCCTCCCCGTGTTGCTAGTACAGCTGTTCGGGCAGCTGTGCAATGAACTTCATCAAGGAACTATTGCAGTTAAAAATAGCACTTTTTTTCCCCCTCTGTTTTGAACCTTCAGGAAGTTGTGGTAAAAACACAAACCTAGATTTGGGCAGACTTTTTGTGGTTCTGTTTTGTGTTGTCTTTGCTCAGCTCTCAGCCACAGCTTGAGCATTAGGCTCTGAGTGCACTTCCACTTTGGGGATCACGCTGATGTGAGTGGAGGCAGGTGGTAGTTTCACAAACCTATGGATTTCAGTATTAGGGACTACAGTGGTAACATTTCTCTGGACAAGATTTCCCCTCCCTCCCCTCCAATTCCATAAAATTCCATGTGCCTGAACACCAGGCACCCCGTGTGACACACTCGGATAGACAGCATCATTCCCGAAACTCAGCTGTGTGTTTCTCAGTTCTGTGGCTGAAGGAAGCGTGGGCTTTTTTTGTTTGTTTATTCTTGTTTTATTTATTTATACGCAGATGCCCATTGAAAGTGTTCCAGTGCTATTTAGAGTTTTGTGTTCCCTTTCCTTTTTTAAAGGAAGCTTCAATAAAAAAAAGCAACAACAAAACCTTAATTGCGTGGTCCAGAATTGCACATTGTTGCGGTGAGTCACGGGAGGATCATTTTGCTATAATCTCTGTCCTGTTGCTACCCTGCTGCTCCTTCCTCCCCTTGCGTTAGACCTGACCTGAGGGCTGGTGGCAGTCACCAAAAGCCCTGTCTTCCTTTTGTCACCCCTCCAAAGCAGCCAGGCCAAACCAAGAAGTCTTTTGAATATAATAAAACATTAATGTGACTGCTTAACATGCACAGTCAGAAGCTCCTCTAGATATTCAGTGAAGGTGCCAGGGTGCAGAGCAACATCTTGAACATGCAGCTGCCTTCTTGTTCCCTCGTAGTGTTTCCCCTGCTTTGCCATGATGGAAATGTCACGTCTTCTCGGATGCTGAGTATTTTCATGAATTCCCCTCATGCTTTCGGGTTGTTCTGGGGATTTTGGGTTCATTTTCACTTTCTCTCTGTTGCTTTGCTAAAGGGAAACCCTGGTCTTCCCCAGGGGTGGCTGCCTCAGGGTGAAATGGGAGCTTGCAGCTTTGAAAGCACTTCACAACCCTTTGCTTTGTGCCATACATCTCAAGCAGGACATGCTCCCCTCTTAGGTGCCATTAAGCAGTTTAATTTGTCACAGCCAGGAAAAAAAAAAGTTCAGAATTCCCTAGTTTCGATATTTCAGTGCCATTGCCTTAAATTCCCATGCCACAAGGCAGGAACGTGGTGCGTGGCACATGTGCTGTATTGCAGTTTCGGGGCACAGGTCGCGGTTTAGTCTCGGTTCAGCGGGAAGCTGACGTGTCTGTCCTAGTGCAAGGCTGCCCGGGTGCTGTGTATGCCCCTGCCACATTGCCGCCCCGGCTCCTGGATTTTATTGCCCCCGTGCCTATTGGAACTAGTTAAAAATAAACCCTTGTGTTTTCCTGCAGTGCACAGAGAGCATTCCCTGGGCATTTCAAGTGTGAAAGTGGCAAGCCCTTACAAAAATATTCCTTTTTCAGGCTGGTGCTAAATGGAGCTCATCCCTTTCCTGTTTAGTTGGTCTCCAGCTCATTTTTGGTGTGTCTTTTTAAGAAGCTGTGCTTATCCCTGCCCGTAATGCAAAGGGCTGATTGCACATTCGCTGAGCAGCCGCTGCTTTCGGCTCAATTCTTGTAGGGACTGAAATCAGCTACGCAGAAAACAGTTTTTCACCAAGAATGGAATTTGCAAGGGGTTTCCACTGAGAGTTTCCAGAGGGGGCAGAAAAAAACATTTCAAGCTTACCAAATTTTAGGCAAATTTTTTCTTGTGCCTTTTTCCCCTCCTCGCCCCACCCCCTTGAAATCCCTTAATTGTCCAAGAAACAGCTTCTGCATTGAAAATGTTTCGGGTAGCCCTTGGACTCTGTCAGGAATTTTTGAGCAGATGGGATTATATAGAAATACAACTTTAATGTAAAGGAGGCTGCATTGCAGTTGTGTTGGGCAGGAGATGTGTGAAAGCTCCTGTGGAGATGCCTGCGCTCACAGGGCTTCACTGTGGCACTGCTAGGATGTCTTCTTTGGAGAAATCCTCTTTCTTGGACTTGGTTCTGCTGACCATGCTGTTAAAAGCTTTGTACAACTGTGTTCGTGGACAAAATAAGCTCTTTTGGTACCAAGTTGTGTGGTTGCAGCTGCACGTAGGGAGGGAAGGCTGCATCTCCCTCACGTGCCAGGGCGCTGTCAGAGCAAGCCTGGCCTTGCTGCCCGCCCAGGCTCTGTGGAGAGAAGCACTGCAGCAAGGTTTTGTGCATTTATTCATTTGGTTGAAGCAAAGAAAAGCTCTCCTTAGTTCTCAGGAGAAGTGTGGAGATCTGGCAACTCACTTCTCGGGTTTAGAAAGTAAATGGATCAGCTCCTCGGACTGGATCCGATGGATCCGCATTGGACCGGGCCTGTGCACGCGGCTGGTCCGGAGGCTGGAGAGGGCCCTGCCTCCTGCGGCGCCGGGTCGGCTCTGGGCCTGTCCTTCCCCAGAGGAAGTTTCTGCTGCTTCTCGGGGTCTTAGGAGCTCGTAGCTGTTCAGCATTAGCAGTTTTTTCTCCCTCCTTGTTTTTGTGATTTGCTTATTCTGGAGTTGCCTTGTGGACTTTTTTTTTTTTCTCTAAGTTCTCTTTTGGTGGGGAAGAACAATCCTGGGAACAATGACAAAACCCTGGGAAAACCGATGGGAGGGTTTTGTTACTGTTTCAGAGCATGGAAGTGCGATGCTACCAGATAAAGTGATTTCTTGAAATGTGGATTGTGCCAGACTGAAATTCAGGTTGCAAGTTTCACCTATTGCAATTACTGTAAATTATGTTATAAGCCATTGAAATGGTGTGATCTTTATCTTTCTCTATTAGCAACTTCTATGTGCCCTGCCAGTAAAGATGAGTTAGATGGGTTAAAACATGTTTCGGATGTGATGCCTCAGCAATCGTTGCTAGTCCTAGTGCTATTTGATACTTTCCTCCTTTGGAAAAGGAGGAAATTGTTGCTGATAGGAATTTGTAATGACCCACAAGCTGCTCCCACGAGCTCTCAGTTCTGCCAGTTGACTTGGGTCACTTCGAATGAAACGTTCTCCAGCAGACACACACGGGACAAGGCTGGAGCCTGGTGCAAGGAACGCGGGCAAACTGGAGGTCTGTGTCCTGGAGAGCCAGCCGTGGCTCCCACGGGGCCGTGGGGAACACGCAGCCCTGCAGTGGGAGTTCCCAGTGCCACGTGGAGCGGAGTGACCTGGGCACCGGCTTGTGGCAGGCCCCAGCAGGGAGCTCACAAGGGCAACCACGGCTGCTTGGTTGACATCCAGCCTCGGCACTTTAAAGAGCTGATGAAGCTTTGCAGGAGACAGAGGGAACAGCTGTGAAATTCCTGAGCCCTTGGTAGTGTCTTGCAGCAAGAGACGTGGAGCTTGGTCTGCTCTGCATCTCAGAGAGGAGCTGGAGAGGTTGCGTGCTGGCAGTGAACAGAGGCTCTTGTGCAGAGAAAATGCTATCGTCAGGCTCCCCAGCCTGGCCAAGAAAGTCATAGTGAGAGCTGGTGGCTGCGAGGAGAAGCCAGATTAAGTTGATTGGTGATTTTGGCAGAAATGTTTCAGATGGGTTTTAGCTGGGCATGCTAGTGATGGGTTTTGGTGGAAATCTCAGGCTGAGGGAATGCAGGATGTTGTCCAGAAGGTCTGATACAGCTGTCCTATGGGCACTGTTGGCCTCAAACTGAAAAACCTGAGGTAGAAAGAAGAGAGGAGAAAGTTTGTTAGCAAACAAAGCCAAAAAGTAAGTGCATGAAGGCATAGCTGCAAGTGCAGGAAGGGCAAAAGACACCTGAGCCCAGGCCTCAGCAGATGGAAAGCAAGAATCAGATGCACTTGTGTGTGTATATTCTCCAGTATCTCTTTAAATGCTTTCTTTTATTTCTGATTTAATTCTCGTGTTTCTGTTTCTGTGTACAGTGTGTCGAGACTTCGCTGTTCTGGAAGATCATACCTTGGCCCATAGCCTACAGGAGCAAGAGAGTAAGTGGCAGCGATTTTTGGAGCAAAGTGACGCAAACTTGCCCCAAAATGTATTTATTTTTGTTTGGTTTTGCTAAGAAAAAATTTCCCTGCTTTTATTTCATTTCATTCTTTATTGACATACTGATTATTCTTCCTGTCTTCAGTGTCAAGTAGCACTATTCCATGCCTTCTACCTCAGCTCACGTTGTGCCCTAGGGACAGTTGCATTTCGGTGATTCAGTTTTGTGATCTCCATTAGAGCTAAGTTTGCTTATGCTGTTGATAGTAAAATTGCATATGGGAGTGCAGGTGAGATTTCAGCGCCGTGCAAAGTCTTTAGCAATGTCTAGGAATAAAGCACCATCAAGACTTTCAAAAGCAACTGGAGATTTTCTACATGCTTATCTTTTAGTTGGGGCATATTTACACTGTGGTTTGAGGTGTGGTGGTGTGTGTAGCTGTGCTTAGCTAGGTGCCAAGACCAGTAGTACCTCCTGGCACTAGGCACTAATACTGTTCTAGCTGATCCACTGAGCTGCAGCTCATGCTGGAGTAGTCCTTGCTGCTAGAACCTGAGACACAAACAAATAAACACAAATAAAGCTGCCTCTTGGCTGCAGCCCTTGTAGCTGTGTTTCCTTGCAGGCAATATCCTTGTATGGTAAAGGGCTTGCTTTAGGATAGAGTTGCTCTGTTGCTAAATATAAAGGTGGTGAGATTCTGGAACTGATTATGTGGGGGGAAGGAGCTCCATCTCTGGAGGTTCTTGAGAGTGAATTAGGGAATGTTTCATAGCAGTAGTTCAGGTTCAGCTCATTCCGAGTGGCCTCTGGTGGTCCTTTCCTCCCTTGCTTTTTTAATCTAAGATAATTTTCCATGCCCTTTAAATTAAATATAAGGTCTAAGGAACATTCACTATAAATCTGGCTGTGATTAAGATACGCAGATCTTATTTTGGTAATAAATGCTAATGTGCACCCTTGTCAGTGCTGAGGCAATCTCAGGCTGCTAGCGTAGTGTCAGTTCAGAACTCCCCCACCTCTAGAGATGTTTTTCTATTGAAAACTGTGTCTTCCTTTCAGCCTGGGATCTCCCTCCCACTTGCTTTGTCTTCTTCACACCATTAACTTCTGTAGGTTGATTTGGGGTATTCCTGTCTGTGTTTCTTTCCAGTCGAGCATCACTTGGCAACAAACATTCAGCGAAATCGCCTAGTGCAACATGACTTGCAGGTGGCCAAGCAACTGCAAGAGGAGGAGGATCTGAAAGCACGTGCTCAAATCCAGAAACGCCAAAAAGACCTGTGAGTGGTTGATGGAGCCATCAAAACGCTCATCCTGTTCGGTCAGAGCACTACAATTAGCTGCTTAGTTTTAACAGCAGTTCAACTGCTTCTGTTTTGTTTTCCCTGTGGTATCAATTGCTGTAGAGGGAGATATTGGTGATTGCTTCTGTGGCATGGAATAACGAGGACAGGGTGGAGTTGGTGGTCCTGACCCCCAGCCCTGCCTTGGCCTCTCCTGCCTGACTATGAAAAGGGAGCTTTCATGTCCTGCTGCATTTTGGCAAACGTTGCACTGTTGGCCACCACCTTTGGGCTTGACCTGACTAAGGTCTGAGAAGAACTTAGAAGGAACTGTGCTTTACTGAAATGCTGTGTCGTGATGAAATCTCTCTTGGGGAAATTGCAGTTAGTGGCATATTTCCATTGCACCTGGTGATGTGCTTTTGAGGAACTCAGTACAGTGCAGTTTGGTGTCCCACAGCACTAACCAGCTGAAAGCCTCTGCTTGTGCTGGCAAATACTTCCAGGGTGAAGCAAGCTGGGAAGAGGAGCTGCTGCCTCTGGCTGCTTGGGGGAGGTGGTGGGATTAGTGCTGGGGACAGACGACCTCCTGCAGGCACTGACTTCAGCAGAAGCTGTGGGAAGATCCTTAATAAATGCTCTGCACAGGTTTGTTCAAAATCTCAAGCCAGATTTAACTCCATAGCTCATTTTTTGGCTTTCTGCACACTGTGACCCTCAAAGTGAAACATGGAGCTGGGAAACCCAAACTGGGCTTCTGCAAGAGCTGACTTTGGTGCTTTTCTTGTTTTCATGTTGCCTTTAGTCTCTTGAAAGGCATGAAATGTCACCGGTGGGATTACAAGGTCACAAGGACAGATAGTAGCTTGTCCTCTAAAGGGCTCCTGGTGGATGTAGGACCTGCAAAGCAGGACACATCTCCTGGCTGCTGCGCTGTATCCTGACTGGTCCAGGCTCCAAGATGCCACCCACAAATCCTGCTGTTGCACCCAGCGTGGTTCGTCTGACACATACAGCAATGTAGTTGCAAGAGCTCTGGACTGCAGATGTGTGAGCTACAGGGCTGGCTTCAAAGGGACTGCTTGGAAAGGATTTGGAGTGTGGGATGCTACAAATCAGCCGCTGTTTTCCCTGTCACCAGCACATCCAGGCAGCGCTGGGAAGACACATGCACCATTGAAGTTTGTGCTACATTTCACTGACTCTATCCTAGCTAGTTTTTAGCTGTGTGAAATAAACAGCAACAAATAATATGAAGAGCAACAAAATGTATCACAGAGACAATCCCTTTTTGCTACCTGATGGAAACTATTTTTCCTCTTGTAGAATTTTCTGAAAGGGATTTGCTAGCTTCCTGATCCAGGCAGAACTGCGGATGCAAAACGCTGTGTCAGCAGCAGTTCCAGTCCTCAAAGCATGAGCTGTTACGCAAGATCAGTAAAAAGTTGGAGACTGTTTTGGAACTGGATCTTTTTCTTCCTTAATTCTCTGTATGTTCCTACTGTCTCTTCCTTGTGAAAGATCAGTGTATTCTGGCAAAAAATGATCCTCACTGAAGTTGCTTTCTGTTTTGTCTAGGGTAACTTGACATTGGAGGCAATAAAGAAGCAGAACAGGGTAGGCAGTTTAGAAATGGGGAGCATAAATGACCTCCAAACTCAGGGTTAGATGTGAATTGCATGTAGCTATGGTGGTAGTTTGGTTTTTTTTTTTATTGTATAAATCCTGGATTCCCCAAGAAAGAATTTGTGAAGATAAATGAGAAAATGGATTTTTCTTTTTGATAATTCTTGGAAATATCACACTTTATTTCCCTGCTTCAGTAAAAAGCCTCTCTCACATCTGAGTAGCTTGCACGGTGCAAAGCACAGTGGCATCAAGGATGCTGAAGTATCTGAAATAGCATGAGGGAATGCTCCTTCCTCTCCTTCCTTGTTTTGCTCCCAGTGCTGAGACAGCTCTGTTGCGCTGATATCAGCAGTTCCTTTGAACAATTCACTTAAACACACTTTTTTTTTCTCTCAGCATCTGGCAACAATTTTTTGCCAGAGTGAACAGGAATGGGAACTTTCCAGCTACCTTTTTTTTCCCCTTCTTTACTAGGCTGATGTAGAATTTCCCTGATGCTCCAGTATTCCTGGCTACCCAGCAGTAAAGGGCACCGTTACTTACATCAGTAGCTGGGATCTTCAGAGATGGCCACATTTCTGTTGCTGAGGCTGATTTCTGTGGCTTGATAGGAACATGAGTTGCCATTAAAGAAACTAAGGACGAGCTGTAAAAGCTCTTTGAATGTTTTCCTTATGCTCAGTCAAGTTGAAAGACTAGCCTATGTTGAATGACTAATCAAGTCTCAGTATTTAATTACATGCTGAGCTACAACCCCTCTTCCCCCCAATATATAATGCTGTGCTATTCAGTGGTTTTGAAAGAGCTTGATACAGCGTATTGCAAGGTGCCCACCATCAGGAACAAGAAAATGCTTTTGAACTGCTCCTACTGTTTTCTGCTGTCCATGAAGAAGCAATGACCTTGTTGCCTTGGCTGTAAAATGCGAGTAGCCTCTTCAGTGTCTTGTTTGTCTGCAGTAAGATGTATTTTAGACTCTTTGAGTCAGTCAGTGCTGGTGAATTTGGCCCCTTAGCTCTGCTCACAGGTGCCAGGAGGAAATAGAGACTTGCAGCATTTGGATACATCTGATCCTTATAAGTTATCTTCTACCTAGATTTATGTCTTCTGAGACTGGGGCCATAAGGGGTCCCATATCTTAGGCATGCTGACAGTTCGTTCCCCAGGACTTGTGTGTTCAGCTACTGAGTTTTGCTGGGGCCTGATTCCCTGCTTGGGCCAGGTTTGCCAGGATCTTTTGTTGTTTGGCAGATCTGCTGCTATAAGAGTCTCGCTGCCTTTGGATGTGGACCCAGTTACTGCCTGGCAAACTCTTGTGTTTTTCTCAACTGTAGCTTTGGTTTGCTGGGTAGGAGAAACTGTTACCTGAAGTTATTTGACCTATTGATAACTCCAGCTTTGCAAACACTGAAATTCGTGAGGGAAGGGCATATAAACAGCATGCAGTACTCAAGCAGGTCTGCTTCCAAGAAGCAGTTAATGGAAATAAAGAACCTTCCTTTCCAACCTGTTGGGTGTTCTTTTCCATATTTCTAGCAGATTAGATGTTCTCTGGTGGCATTTATCTTCTAAAACCTCTTTTTGATGCAATGACCTTCTCCCCTGCCCAACCCTGTATCTATTAATTTCTTCTGCTCCTTTCTCTCTCCTTGACTTCCTACAAAACAAGGGGCACCTGCCACGCTACTGTCTCCTCCAGCAGTGCCACTTCTCTCTGCTTCATTCTCTTTATTTCTGTCCTGCACTCGATTCTGGTCCTTTGCTTTCAAGTTTGCCAGGTCATTTGTGCCCTGCTTCTAGCTCAAGCTGAGAACTAATGTTCCAGCCAACCAGTAACCCCTGTGCATCCTTCAGGCCTCTTGGCTGGGCTGCTCTCCCTCCGAGCACACAGCTGAGCTTTGCACAGTTCTCGCAGATGCTTTTTGCATAACATTTCTGAAATACAGCCCTGCCTGTCCACCCACGCTGCCAGCACTTTCATTTCATGTCTTAATTGCTCTGGTATTTCTTCTGCTGTCCCCAAGTAATGCAATTGTGCATTGCTCCTGCATCCCTAACAGCACCACGGTGATGGATTCCTCGCCCCTTGTTTCAGCTTATGTCACTTCTGCCTTTTTGCCCTGGTTCTGCTTTCTCTATCTGGCCCCAGCTCAGCAGGAGCTCTCATTCATTACTGAACTGCCACCTCCAGCCTCCGCTTGGCCTATTTAATGCATTTTCCCCTAAGCATTTCTGCACTTTCTCCTTCCTGGCTTTCTTGTGAAAAACCGCTGCCCAGAAACAATTACTAACCTTCCCCTAAACTCTTCCTTTGGCACTCTGTGTGCAAAAACCCTTCAACAGAAGTAGGCTGTCTGCAGACTTCTGCACATTCTTTTGGCCTGCCCTATCTTATTGCTGCCATCTCTTCTAGTAAAGCTGTCTATTAATCTGCTTGCTCTTGCTTTATTCTTCAGTTATGAATGTTTTGGGACACATCTTTTCTATATTTGTCCAGCAGTAAGCACGGGGAGTCCTGCTAGGTGGTGAGGGTTCACAGATTCTGCAGTAATACTGAGTGATAACAGTTGTGTGTAAATCAGATGGATTCTGTCACTCTCTTTATCCCTGTCTCCAGGCTAGCTGATGTCTGACTTCAGCTGTGTATAATCCTTGTCTCTTTGCCTTCTAGGGAGCGCCAGGACTGCGAGATAGCTCAGGAGATCCAGGTGAAGCTGGTATTTGAAGCAGAGCAGCGACGCAGACAAGAAGAAAAAGATGAGGTAACCCTTAAAGCTGCACAATTGGCAGAACTGTTTGCACTGACCATTTCAGTGCAGGCATCTCCTAGTGACTAGCCCGAGGAAGTGGTGCCAAACCTGGTCCTTGCTGCTCACGCAGCAATGATACAGGGAATGATGCTGCACTGTGAAAGCTTTGGATGGCAGGGGCCAAGCGATAAGTAGGTCTCATTGTGATGCTCAAAGGTCTGGAGTAGGGAAGTAGTTGCTTCTGCAGCCTGGGAATTTTTTTCTCATGTGTAGGAAGATGTACTGCTCTGGGGACAGTCCTGCTCTGTGATTGCTATGGTTCTTAGTGACTTCAGGCTTGGGAAGGACCCTCAGTCAACCATCAGCCTTCAGCTTCTCTTTTGCCTTCTTTTAATTTCACTTTGTTTTTTCAGAGTATGACCCCTGAAAGTCTCTCTTCAGGTGCAAGGGCAGTTTTTTGCTAGAACAGGCATCCTTCTGCAACTGTAAAATGTGGTTCTGCTACCTGAAAGTGGTCAGCGTTGCTGGTCTGCTGATGACCTTCTAAAGATCTGGCTTGTTAATTGCTGTATCATGCCAGACTATTAGATTTTTGTGTTCAAGAGAGACAGAAATGTGACTTAAGCTCATATGTTTATACATTTATTGTTCTGGCTAGAAGAGGTTAACTTAGCCAGGGTCAGGGTTTTTTTTCGTTGTTTTTATAGAGTCTGTGTTGTCCCCAGACCCTTTACAAAGCTGGTTACCATTTAAGTCTGATCTGAATCCTAGAATAAGTTTGTATTTCAACACCTATCCAAAGTCCATTAATATTGGCAGACACCCAATGTTTTGGAGGGTGTTGGCTCTGACTTTGCATTTCAGTAATACTTTTCATACCTGTGGGTTCACTTTACATGCACAGCTCTGTAAAGATCCTGAGCCTCTCAAGAAGCTGTTTATTACTCTGTTTGCCAAGGCAAACCTGAGGCACAAATTGATGTGTGGCTTCCTTGCCCACTACAGCAAATTTTCCTCTGCTTTGGGGATGTTTAAAGACATTTGTTTCTGAAGTGAGCTTAGCCTCTATTACAAGGTCACCTTAATGAGCTTAATTAATTAATGACTTAAATGAAGACCAGGAACAGTGATTAAGTTGGAGAGAGTCTTTAGGCTAAGGGAGTGCAGGGAAAGCCTGGTCTTTGAAGCTGGAGTGGCTCTTTGATCAGAGTGACGTGGGATGGGGAAGACAAGATCTCCCCTTCCTTGGCCTCCTACTTCTGAATGAGGCTTCCTCTTTTCTGTTGCCTCTTCTGGCTCTGCTCTTGGTGGGGAGGGGTCTTTGGTCTGTAAGTCTAATGAAACAAACCTCCATTGCACCACAGCAGGGCCAAAGTGGCTGCTTTTGGAAGTGTTGCAAGGATTTTCAGTAAGGTTTGGCTCCCTGTGAAACACCTGGAGGGGAAGGACTGCTTTCCAGACATATCCATTGGCGGCATTAGGAATCAAATGTCTAAAACTCACCTTTGCTGTTATTTTTATTTGGACATCCAAGTATGCTTTAGCACACTTGTTTCTTCCACGTCTGTCAGTTTTGGCCAGCTTAAGTTTAGGGAGGCTTAAATGAATAACATCCTAAGACTTAACTTGCCGTGTTAGTATCTTCCAGCTTCTCTCCCTTCTTCTTTTCCAGTTCTCTCCAAAACTTCTCTTCTGACTCATGAGCTTTTGGGTCCCCAAACAAGCAAGCCCCAAGGAACTGATTCATGTTGCTAGGCCTTGTTGAGCCATTAATCATCTCAAAGGAAAACCAGTTAGGAAAATGGAGTGCTATTCTCTTTGACAGTATATCTGCCAAAGCTACGACAGAAGATAAACAGCCTACAGCCCATACAGCATCCCTGCATTGTGCTTTCTTACTAAGATCCCCTTCAATTTTGTTTCTCTCCAGTCTTATGTGTCAAATTGATATATTTCCCTGTTGGCACCTTACAGCTTTTGTAAATTACACCCCATCTGAAGTAAGTTCATGACATGTTCTGGGAACTCTTTTTAGTAAGAAGAGCCTTCAGCTTGAAACAGTCTTTGTCCCTTTTTTTTTTTTTTTTTTTTTTTTTTTTTTTTTTTTTTTTTTTTTTGTTTGTTTGTTTGGTACCTGGCTTGTGTTAAGTTCCAAAACCTGGCTGAAAGGCTGTGTTTGTACATGCAGTTCCAGAAAACCTCTATGGTAAAAGAGGACTGAAGGAGTCTTGCATAGGTGGAATAGGAACCTGAGGAAGCAGATTTTGGAATAGGAACCTGAAATGGGAACCTGCATGTTCCCATGTGATTCGAAGTTCAGCGATCAACGTTGTTGAGAGCAGATTCTGGTTGTTGAGATGGCTCTTTGCATCAGTGACTAAGCTGGATGCATCCTGCACAGAGGGGTTGCATTCAGACTTCCACATCAGTGCTGAGGTGACAGTGGGTCCTGGTAGCAGCATTTTGCGCAGATGCAGAATATTGGAAGTTACAGGCCTCCTGCACATGGGATATGGGGTACTACTGACAATGAGCAAAACATCTTGCCAGAGCTTAACACTAAAATGAAGTTGCTGCTTTTGTGCAGAAGGCATCCAAATACAATGGGGAAGGGTGATCATATGATGTGCAGAACCTAGCAGTGATGATGGGATGAGCAGACCTAAAAATGTATTCACCTGGAAGCATGATGAAAGGAAGAAAGATAACCTGCTTGCATGCAATGAAAGGTAAAGATTGCATACATAGCTGATAGTTAATTTGTGTGAGTCACTGCCACAAAATGAGGCAAAGGGCAAGAATGTAGGATGAGCATACAAGAGGAAAAAAATGTTAATTTATGCAGATCTCATGCAGATTTGCTGTGCGAGGAACAAGTAACCCTGTCATCATGAAGTCTGGAAAGTTAACCTATCAGAATTTTTACATGTGCATTTGAATAAAACAATCTGTACATGTCATTTTGGGAAAGGTAACGACTGTTTGTTTCTGCAGGACATTGCTCGTCTCCTGCAGCAAAAGGAGTTGCAGGAAGAAAAAAAGCGCAAGAAGCACTACCCCGAATCCCAGGGACACCCAGGCTATGAAGACAGTTATTATTCAGAGAATGGAGGTAACTTTCTTCTCAATAAAGGGTTGAAATCATGGTAATAGAGGTGAACTTTGATCAGATATTTCAGTTTGAGACACTTTCCTTATGCTGCTGTTGTGTGCTCAGCACAATAGTACATTAGTTTCCAGTGGTCAGGATCTGACTTTATTCTAGAGTAGGAAGAGCTAGGAAGGATCGAGGACAGATAAGTTCCTGTAAAGGTCCTATAAAATGGCCCAAGGGATTAGAGGTGGAGTGTGTGCATGTCCGTGCACATGCACACATACATGTTTTGAAGGGGCCCATGGAAAACAGCAGATGATGTTACATATGTCATGGCTATCACTGCATAGTATGCATAATAGACTACACATTGGAAGTGTGCAAAGGAGAAATGCAGTATTATTCCACACTTGTGGTTGAAGAGAAATGGTTTTGGGTGTTCCTCTGTGATGCTGACACTGGTGAGAGCATAAAGGAATAAGTTCTGGTTCATGGAACAGCTTTCAGAAATAATCCTTTGCAGGTATGTATCTAAGAACTAAAATTAGCATTATCACTTTGAGTGACTTACTCAATAACAAGGCCATCTCCACAGGGTATCTTCACTGTGATTACCATCTGGGACTGTGTGTCATGGAGAAGATACGACCCGCAGGGCTGAATTGCTTTCTTTTGGGCAGCTTTTATGATCTAATGCAGGCTTTTTGAAATTGGGAAGAGACAATCAGAGTGTGTTTAATTATGGAGCAATCTGGGGATTGCTTTGCTTTTTGCTGGTGGTGGTTCTTATGCTCTTTCTTCAGAACACATGTAGTGGGGAAGAAACAGACTGGTTTTGATTAGCAGATTGTCAAGATGGAGACCAAACCTCTTACTTTAGCATTCCTGCTATGGGTGATTTTAAATATGCTTATTTGGACTTGCACGTAGAGTATTTTAGACTCAATTGGGAGGCAGTTCAGTGGTGGCCGAGGACACCAACAACACAAAGTGCAGAACAGTAACTAGCTAGGAACTACATGGATATGAGTTGTGCTATGTGTGTAAAACTGGGAAGGATGTGAATTTGGGAGTCTTACAGCCATCCATCACCTGGTTTTCAGAATTGAATGGAGCAAGTCCCTGGCAGGGTGGGGAGGGGGAAAAAGCATAGGAAGTAGTCTTCCCATTCACACTTGGGATAATAAGGTGGATATTTTATGTATAGATATATATTTAAAAATATATATATAATATATATAATATATAAATATATATATACACAACAAAAAAAAAAGAGCTGACAAAAGACTGTGACTTTCTCAATCTAAACTGTAGTGTGGATTTGGAGAGCAAGGTATTTTATGGGTCTAAGTTTTCTTCCTGCAGTAATCAGGTATAGAAGGTGAGGTAGAAAACTTTCTGCTTTTTGTAGTAGCACTGCTTTTGATTCCCATGCCTTTAAAAATCAGAAAGATTGAAGTGAATTTGATACCCAGACTGTCTGGTACATTGATCTGGAGCCTCTTAAGTACTTAAGCACCATTCAGCTAGGCTCCTTGGTTTGGGTCATCTTCATGTGAATGTAAAAGCACAGAGTCCTTCCTTTATATATGTATATATATACATATATGTATATGTGTGTGTGTATATTTTTTTTTCTGTTTTTAATACAAATTTGCCCATATTGAGAAGGGATGTATATTAGGGCTGTGGCTTCAGAGCAATCCTGTTCTTTTAAAAAGAAGATAAACAGACATGGAGGAAGGCAAAATTCCTCCCAGCAATATCTGTGCCATGAAAAATATTTCTATATTCACCTGGCCATGTGCTGCTGGAGAAAGTAGCACCAGGACGTGAGGAGTGTTTACACTGTCCCTGCGGAAGGTATTACAGGAACTGGCACCTGCCTGGAAACTTGATCGCTCTGAGATTCGCCAAAAGCAAAATTCCTGCTCAGGCTGCCTGCCGTGGTTGTGTTACCTGCACTGATCCTTTCCCAATGCAGCCCTGCGTGCCCAGCCGCGCTCTGCTTCCTCCTTGTGTGATTTCCTTCTGGGTCGCTGTATTTATTGAGCTTAATGAGAAAATTGAACTAATTCTCAAGGATACTGAATTATAGACTCTTGCTGATCATTTGGAAAATGACTCTTGCTTTTAGTCTCTAATATTCAGTATTTATTAAGTCACCCAGACTACTTTTTGCTATTTGTAACAAAGTCGTGTTAGCGAACTAAAACCGAACAGAAAACCCAGGTTTTTGCTGTGGCTATTCTTGCAGTTCCTGACTCTTTTTTTTTTTTTTTTTTTTTTTTAAAGACCTATTCTGAATAAAATTCAGATTTATTTATTTCAATTTTTTTTTTACATTTTCAATAGGCTATATTTTTGTTGGCTTTGAGGAGAAAAAAATGTAAATAGTATAAATTGAAAGGAACCTTTTTTTTTCCTTGACTTTTCCCTCTCTTCTTTCTAAAATCTGGATGACTGTAATAAATAGCTCTGCTTTTCAAGACAGAATGCAATCCATGTGCAGTGAAATCTCCTATGATTATTTTTAGATGCTGTAAAAAAAAACTTGGGAGAAGGAATTCACTCCACTTGTGTTTGTATAGTTCTGTTTCAAATCAGCCACTGCTTCGGAGAAATTTGTTCTCAGAAATATATCTTCCCTCTGAAAAGCTGCTGTAGACATAATATTTCATTCTGTGCAGTGACTTTTCTTAGCAAATGCATTGACTGCAAAGCAAACTGCTTAGCAGCTTGGATGGAGGCAGCCTGCTGCATTCTTACAGTTATGTCGGTTTTATTACTGAAACCAAAACCGAAGAAAATTCCACCTGGTTTTTTGGAAAGCACAGAGGAAACAACCTGGCCAGTCTGCCTAGTTAACAGCTATTTCACCGATGTTGTTGAGGTCAGGAGCTCAGTTTTGGTTAAGTCTTATCCTGCCCTTCTGTTTCTGCCGACTTCTCTACAGTCAGAGCCTAAACTAGCGTTTTTGCAGGAGTCCCCAAGCTCCTGGGCCTGATGGAGGCAGGCAACAGTTTGTGTTTGTCTGGTGCTGTTATCCATGGGACCACGCTGACCGCTCTCCTCCTATGTGCCGTTTCGTGGGTTGTCTTCTGTAGTCAGGAGAGACTGATATTTCTGAGGAAACATCTCGTGGCTAAGACCTGGGCAAGGCACCAGCACCCAGCCTGACCCTCTGCTTAGATCTTCCCAGCCTGAATTATTCTGCCTTACCCCATCCCCTGCCAGCTCCCAGCTTCACTTCCATTTTATGTTCCCCTTTGCAAACCTCCATCTGGCATCCTGCAAGAAACACCATGTCTCTGAGAGATGAATGGCTCTGCTGTCTATTTTCCACCCCAAGTTCATCGCAAAAAGCCCTTCAGCTCATTACCAGCTTGGCCCTGTCCTGGAGGTGCTTAGATGCACTTTTGTGGTGCATCTGTGTCTTCTGCTCCAGCCCCATGGCCCGTCCCTTGCCCAGCTTGGACTGGCCGTGCTGCGCTATTGCTGCCTTCTCCATTGTGCTCTGCAGCACCTGCTGCCTGCATTCCCACTGTTGTTTCCTTCTGATACCTCCATGCAGCTGCTCCCCACTTCTTCCTACATTTCCATTTTTTTTCTTGCATCCTATTCCCTCGTCTGCATGCTGTGGGTCATCGTTTTGTTACCATTAACCCATGTGTCACTAACCAGCTCCCTTGTTTGTCCCCCCTCCATTGCTTAGCACACCTGCATGGTGACTCTAGAGAGCAGGTTTCTGAGCCTCGCAGAGCCCACAGTGGTGAGAGGCACCCACGCCAGCGGAGAGAGCACCAGAAAGTGCCCTCACCCTTGCCCGACAGCACCTCTGGGCACAGGCATCGCCCCTCGGAGGACCCTCGCTGCTCTCCTCAACCAGGCAAGGCCAGGAGCAGGCACCACCGTGACAGAGAGCGGCAGGAGTGGACGTCGCTCAGCCAGGGAGGCTCCCGGAGACCTCCCAGCCTGGACCTGGAAAGAGAAGGTGCCAGCCCTGACCGCTGCAATAGCTGGGAGCCGCGGGGCAGGGAGGCAGCCAGCAGAGAGAGGCCTCCGAGGCCTCTCAGTCTTAATCTGGAGTCGGAGCATGAACTCGCAAACCTGGTGAGACATGACAGAAAGCCTTCAAGGCAGGACCGAGAAAGGCACCTTCCCCTTCTTGATGTGGAGCTGGAAGCTGAGCAAGAAAACTGGCATCGTGGTGGCAGGCAGCTGTTGCACCCAGGGAAGCATAAATCCCGCCATCGCGGCCACACGTCACCCAGGACAGCTCCCGACAGGAGACTCCATGACTCTGAGTCCAGAGAGGATCATAGCAGGGGTGAGGAGAGAGATTGCAAAAGAGAAGGACATAGGAGAAAACCTTCTCCCTCTCCACACACGGCAACCCAAGGAAGGGTTGCAGACTGCCAGCAAGACTCAGGTAACCAGTATAACCAAGTAATGGGGACCGTGAACGTGCGTGTGGGGAAGGTGCCTCGCTGACCCCATCCTGTTGTTTGAAACCTATTCTTTTTTTTCTTTGGAGATTCATACCTCACCTATCTGTTGTCTACATGCAGTGAACTCTCCCTGGATTTCTCTCTCTACTCAATGTGATTCTCTATCCATTAAAACTTTCACTCTGTTTATTTCGTGATACATCACGTGACATCAAAGAGAACAAGTGAGAAGGCTTGTTAGAAATGTGGTCTTGGCATCCTATGGAAAACCATCGTTTACTTTCATGATTAATTAGTGCTGTGCTCTCCTTGCACAAGAACAAAAAATTAGGTGTGTTGTGGTTACACCCTTTGCTGTCTCTGATTAGATTTGAGGGCTGTAATAAAGGACAGTTTGATTAAGCCCTAACAAGGTACCATTTTCTATTGGAAATTGAAGTAATTCTTGTTGGGGAGTGTTCTGTGATTGAATTAAGATCTGAATTGGAGACATCTGGAAGACATTTTCTAGAAGATGGGTAGATTTTCCTAGAAAACATGTCCTGCTGTGGACTTGGTTGTTTACTAATACTGGGGCTTTAAAAATCTAGATAACCCTGATGATGACAATGGGAGTGGGGATGAGCTGTCTATCAGAATGTGAAAGAAGGGGGCTAGAGGTTTGCACCTCGTTAACCCTGCCATGGGGTGGGAAGCTTATGTCAAGCCATCTATCTGGTCTTCGCTTCTTCACTTGGAAAGGAGGGAATAATTAGACTATTATGTGTGTCCGTCTCTGGAGATGCTATGAGATTTTTGTGTGTGTGTGCGCCTGTAATGCAGAAGTTTCTTTTGGAATGTAGAAGGTGTTTGTTCAATATTTATAAAATCAAGAGGTCCTGGTTTGCCCTGATAAAGTGTGGGCTCTGATGACTCAGTCTCCTATCTCACACATATTGAGTTAAAATAGCCGAGACAGTGAAACAGAGCTCACATCCCTTTCCTGCAGGCAGTAATCATGGCAAGCTTTGTGCTTCCCTGAGCGTGGGCAGAGGTGACATGGAAATAATGTTGATCATTGTCTTCTGTCTAAGGCAAGACTGGCACCAGTTGAAGTGTAAAGAAAGCTCAGCCCAGCTTTCAGTGCTGCTCTCCAGCCAACGTTCCTGGAAACTCAGCCTTATCCTTCACGTAGGCAGTAGTGAACAGGAGTGTGTCAGCAACCTTGTGTTTGATCTAGCATGGCAGAACTGCATTTACTGCGGCCTTGGGAAGAGCCTGAGTGCTATAACTGTGTCCAAGCTGGTAGTTTTTACACTGGCCTGAGATGGCTGCTTTTCACATCTTGGGCTGAAATTGCTCTAAGAAAGCCATCCACTTGGCTATAACAGCCGATAAATTGAGTTGTTTCTCTTCTTGTGCTAAGACAGTTTGTAAGGGGGATGTTAAATGCTTAAGATTATCAATTGATTGACTTCAGTTTAAATAAAAACAAGAAAAAGCCATGCCTGAAACCCATGCCTCTGACCCTGTGTAGTCTGCAGTCTCAGGGGGACACGTGGCAGAGTGTGACAGCAGCTTGTTGACAGATGTGCAGAAAGTTTAGAGGTTAACTGGTTGCTTCTGTTCCTCTTTGGTCTTGCCTTATTAGAAAGAATCTGGTATCTGGCCCAGTAATATGTATTTATAACAAATGCACCAGCAGTGTAACTGGAGACATGAAAGCTTTGCGTGAAACTTCTCTTCCAGTTTTAGCATGGAAGAGCAACAGGCCAATGTCTCAAGTATCTCTATACTGTAGATAAAAAGCAGAAACCTCATTTAGATGTTGGAGATTACCAAACAATACGGTTCAGACTGCACATAGAAAGAGAAGGCATTCATTGTGTGTGAATGAAGCCATACAGTTTATAACAAGAGTACAATACGACTCTCTTGGTGCCCTCTTGCAAATAGACTGTGGAGAGGCTCTCAACAGCATGAGGCTGTGCAGTTTCTGATCATTTGGAGATGATTTAAACTTAAGCCAAACAGATAAATAAAGCTGTCTGCCAAGAGCAAGAACTGAACCTTATGTGAACTCTAAAAATGTTTATTTATCTGTTTTTCTCATAATGAATTGCAAAATTCATGGGCCAACTGCAGAAAAGACCTATTGGAAACTTCGAGAGCCTATCAGGCAACTTTTGCAGTCCACGCTGTTCCAGAGAGAAGTTTTACAAAACCTGCTGTGCTTGTAGCATGTGTTAAGCTGTTCTCCAGTGCCAAATTTTGCCAGGATACCTGTAGCAGTCCAGAGTGTGGAAAACCTACAGTTCCTTTGCCTTGCAGGCAAAAACCCTGGCAACAAGGATTTTCTTCTACCACATAGTGGTGCTTGTTATGTAGGAAACAGTGTAACTATGTGCATAGGTAAAACTCATTCCAAGGCATGTATTCCCCTTTGACTGAAGATCCTCCTAACATAGCTGCCTGGCAGGGACTCTGCCTTGATCTCAGGTCCCCTTGTGTGCAGTTTTGCAGGTGAGGAGCTGATGCTGAGGAGACAGTGGGGGTTTCCTTTCAGAAGCACTTTGGAAATTGGTCAAATGATTGTTCTTTCTCCTAATTTTACAGGAACTAAGCCAAGGGGATCAAAGCAAGCTATTTATGACAAACCTCGAAGGGAACAGGAATTATCTGATGCAGAGATTGCTCGAAAACTGCAAGAGGAAGAGCTGCTGGTAAGCAGAGGTTATGTTAGCTCGTGTGAAAGAATTAACATTCCCAGCAGTGACACTTTCCTCTTGCAAACTTTTTACATATGATGCTGACACTTAAAACCTCAGGCTACATTCTGGTACTCATCTTCCTCTCCAGTATATGCATGTGGAGTGAGAGGTGGTTTCTGTGTGTATACCTCTTGTCTGCAGTTTTCTTGACATAAATCTGTGCACACTTGAAAGTTAAATGGTCGGAGCAGGGTGACATTAAATGGAAGTTTCCATGTGGATAAAGCTGCCATATTGTCAGCATGCACAGATAGGCAGTATGATACTGTGGTGTGAGAGGGGGCATCGGAGTGGCCAATGTGTTGTGGTGTGACCTGGCAGAAAGGGCAAAATGCAGCTGAAAAGTTGAAATGCTGGTTTAAAGCAGGTTGTGGGGTGACTGTTGAGCTGGTTTAGTGTATTTGGAGAGGATGGTAGCAGATGTGTGAGCATCTTTCTGCTCTGCCCAATAGGGTGATGGATCTGAGTTATTTAGAGGGGTAGCTATTTTTTCTGTGTTTTCTTTTTTTTTTCTTGTTTGTTTATTTGTTTTTCAGGCCAACCAGATGGATGAGAAGGCAGCTCAAGTAGCCCAAGATGAGGTGAGCAAGAACACAGATGTTCAAACTGCATCTTTATTTGTAGAAACTGCTAAACCCCAATGCTCTAGCTGTTCCCTTCCCTCCTTGCTGGGGAAGCTCAGGGCTCTGCTGATGCTTGTTCCTAGCTGCTTTGCATGCTCAGACTGACCAAACAGGAGATTTTGCTGCCTAGTGCAGCCACAGCAGATCAGGGAGGTTCAGCTCTTGTAATCATGTCTCATGGAGAGTCTATGACATATGCTGTAAGGTGACTGGAAGAAAAGAAATAGGTTGAAATGCTCTGCACGTGCAAACCAGGGAAATCAAAGGTCCACTGAGTATGTAATATGTAACCAGACTCATTTCTGCTGTGTTGTTTGATCTCCAAGCACAGGCGAAGTTGAAAGCTTCTTTCAGCCATTGCATTCAGCCCCCATCCATTATGGGGTTCCCAGGGCCTTGCATGTTACAGAGGACACGGTGCAAAATGCTCTAGGCTTCTACTGGTGATGCTGTGTTAATATTTGTTTGGAAAGTGTTTAAACAGCTGAAACCCACAAGAGCAATAAAATCTTTTGACATATGGTCTTTATTTTTTTTTTTCTTCCAGGAAATAGCCCGTCTGTTGATGGCTGAGGAGAAGAAAGCTTTCAAGAAAGGGAAGGAACGAGAAAAGTCTTCTCTTGAAAAGAGGAGGCATGATCAAGACTGGAAGGTATGTCGAATTTTGGGAGGCCTTACAAATGAAGTGATAATCAAGTGCTAAAGAAGGTGTTGTGTTAATCTCAGAGCCAGATGGAAATAGCTCTGGTGTTTTCAGCTTTCTGATTGTGTTGAACTAGTTGGAGGGGCAGAGCTGAGTGCAGCCTTATGCTCTGCTAAACCATGTGTACGAAAGCAAATTTTATGCATTTGACCCCAGCTTAGAGATGGATCCTCCACTTCAGCATCATATTTGGAGCAAAGCTTCAGTTTCACTAAGCAAAGCTGGGTTTAAGATAGTGGAAACTGGAGCAGATCTTGCCCTTTGCAAGGTTGCAGTTAGTTGCATGAATGAACTGAGCGTGGAAGGACTGTGCAGAGCTGTGGAAACCTCAACACAGTGGTTAGGGCCTCGCAAGGCACGAGGACAGCCTGTTGGTGAGCCGCCCTCCCCTCTTTTTTCCCTGGCAGTACGATGGAAGTGAGTCGGCGCGCTCAAAGTCAAAAGAAGGACTTGAACCTCAGCGGCACAAAGGCGACAGGTCTTCACGGTGAGCTGAAGTCATGGCCAGGAAAAGGGGGGAAATGCATGCAAGAGGCAGCTCCCCCGGGGAGTGGTGCTTGGGAGACCATGCTGATCCCAAGGGGACTTGGGGGAGAGCAGAGGTTTCAGCACCTCTGAGGTGCTGAAGATATATGGAGGGAAAAGAGCCTGTGGCGTGTTCGATGACATGCGTCATTCGCTGCGCTAGTGGCACCTGGCCATCCCAGCCTGCCTGCCCAGCACTGACAGAGATTGATGAGCTTGTGCGGTGACATTTGTTAAATGGCAGAGAAGCCTTGACAGGGTTAAAGAGCTTCTGGGTATGTGAAAGCAGATGTCATCTCTGGTCAGGAAGAAGGAATCATGATGGGTTTTCGTGATTGTTCCCCTTGTGTTTCCACAATTTGGAAATTCCACAATTTCCAAATGTGTCCCCGTTTCCCAGATAAGCCCTATGTGTTATTCCCTATGTGAGACCCTGCTGCAAACAAGTGCATCATGCCTATGGGATATCTCCTTCCAGAGCTGACTGGAGTGTAGTATAGCATTTCTTCTGGGACAGAGCAGGCAGTCCAAGTGTTGCTTTAGACATGGTGCCTTTGGTATGTGGGTTTTCTATTTGTTTCTGTGGTGTGTCCCCATCTCAGTATTTTTTTTTCCTGTGTTTGGCAGGTCACAGCCTCTCCTTGATGACTTTGAATACCCTCGTTATTACACAAGCCAGCCTAGCCCCTCACGCCAGTTCCCCAAACACGAGCAGTCTCCTAAAGGTAGGATTGAGCTCACAGTTGCCCCAGAGCTTGAGTTAACTTGTGCTGTATTCCTCAGACAACCAGCCTGAAGGACAGGACTTTTGGATGAGTCGTGCTAATAGGAGGAATGAACATATTGCCCCAAGAGGCATGTGATGCTCTTCAGTGTTGTATTTGCTGAGCATGTTCCTACCTTAGAGAGGAAAAAACCTGAATTAGTTGGCCATGTCAAACTGCTCTGCTTACTTTATGATCTCTTAATGATGAATGACTGTAAATCCAGGCAGCAAATGAAAGAGAAGGTAACATGAAAACAATGACTTGGTAGTTTTCAGGTGAGTCACTGTATGAAGCGATTCAGGACAAGACAGAAAACCCTCACAGTGTCACATGTCTGGCTGCTGGATGACCAAGCAGAAGATTGTCCTGAGATGAGGCTTGGTTTGTTCCTGTAACATCTCAGCACTGTTTTGTTGGCTTGTATCCCAAAAACATTTGGCACCCAGTGCAGTGTGGGTGGGGATTTTTATTCTTCTTGTTTTGTTTGTTGCTGGTGATGGTTTTTGTCTGATCCTAGAAGTCTAAAAAGGTAGTTTTTTTATCTCTAGAGTCTGTGGGGGAACAGAGGTACAGCCAAAGTTCGACATGTCATATTTCATCCAGCTCCACTGACTATAATTTAAATGCGGAGTTTATTCTATAGAATTTAAAGTTTGAACCTTTTTTTTTTTTTTTTTGTTCTGTCTTCATCAAACAAGCTGGAAAGTTGATGGCAGTCTGTGTAGTTTATAAGCTCAGTGTTCCATCCGTGTTCTTTAGTGAGACACTGGAAAGCGGTTGTCATCCCATTCACACTCACTGGAAGAAATGCAAGTGGCTGCCAACCTTAGTGAGATATTCTTCCATTTACTGTTTGAATAATGTTATTACCACTTTGGCATTTGACTTCACCAAGCAACGTAAAATGACAGACAAGAGAGCAGGACAAGCAAGACTTCTGCTGGTAGCATTTTCTTCACCAAGACCCTATTAATTTCTTTTTTTTTTTTTTTTTTCTTTCTCTTTTGCTTTCTAGGTTCCCGTAGGAAGCAGTAAACTGCTGGCCTTGCTTTGGTACTGACTCTTCTGTAGCAAACTTTACTGGAATTGCCAGGCAACTTTCTCAACTCCTTACCCAACGGGAGGTCCACCCTCCACCCTCAGGATCTCCTCTTTAGCTGTCATCGTATTAATAAGGAACATTTGTTCATTTCAGTTTTAGTCATATGTCACCACTTCAGCAGTGCAGTACAATCTAGCCGCTATGGAGCTGTGTGAATCAACTAGCTGATTTAAGAGATTTTTTTTATTATTTTTTTTTTTAAACTTTGATTGGAGCTTGAACAAATAGAGATGCATGTACAGGAAAATTCCAGATACGAGTTGGGTTATGGCAATGCAGCAGAATGTTTGGAATACAAGTCCTTACCCTATTAGGATCACTTAATGCAGAGTTATAAGAGGGAACGTGTTTTTTCTATTTGCTGAGCCAATCCAATAGAGACACATATTAGTTTGCAGGGAGGAGAGAGCGTCTTTACAACATACACCAGAAAAGGCTAGAACTTGAAGCTGATAAGGAGGAATTTGCTTGTAGCACAAATTTTCTTAACTGCTGTCGTTCTTTCTAGGGTTTCCAGCAAGCACTCCTAAATTCTCCATGGGTAGAATTCTCCATAGGTGCAGCCAGACATTCAGCTCAAAGTTTTTGGATAGGAAAGCTAAGAGCACTCTTAACTTCTAAGGGGCTCCAGTGAGTTGCCAAAGCTCAATCCAATTGTGGATTAGAAAGAATTTTGGATTAGAAAGAATCACACACACTGACTTTAATGCTTAAAAAGACCTCTGTGGTCATCCGCTTTGGGCTTCAGTAAAATGCAAATAATTCATTCACGCCAAGCAGGGACTTCTGTTACTCCTTGCTCAGTTGCTCATGCACTGAGCCTGAACCTGAATATGTCTTGGAAACACAGGCCTGAAGGAGAATGCATGGGCACTAGACATTGAATCCAAAACCCACAGTAACAGGCAACTTGGAGACACTGAATCTAAACCAGTCAAGAAAATATCTGTGCTATCTGCCATCCTTCCACATTGCTCCATAGAGCATCCCCATCAGATTCCACCCTGGATTAAGTGATTGCTCTCTGGGGCATGGTTGTACCTGACAGCTTAAGTTATCTGTACAAATTTGCCCACACTGACATTTTTTTCCCTACACTCATTGAAAATCATTCTGCTCTTAAACAGATAATTTTGCCCTTGGCTTTCTCTCATTCTGTATCTTTTTATTAAGTCTTTGAGCATTTTAACCTGCGAACCTGAGCAGAGGATTAATGGCTTGGAGTCTGTTAGCCAGTTCCAGCTAGTTACTGGCTTTAGGAGCCTGGTTGGCAGCAGCAGAGCCTGCTTGTGGTGCCCTGCACCCCAGCTTCCTTATGGCCTGGCACCAAGTCCGTCCCGCTGTGCTTTTCATTCCTTGATAGCTGGTGCAATCCTGCTCCGGATTTTGGGGGCAGAGTCACAACTGTGCTCGTCCCCTCCCCAACCTGCTTCTCTGCCTGGGAAGGAGGAGGCTGCCAACATGTAGAGCTTCATAGAGGGGAAACGTTGGCCTGGAACATTGGTAGGAAATTGAAGAGAGAAGAGATTGAGGTGCTCGTCTCTTGCACCAATTCACAAGTCAAGGCCCAAGGCAGCTACGTGGCTTTGGCTGTTCATGAGAAAATTACTGTGAAACAAATTGCTGGAAGACAAAAGGTAACTTGTTTTTCACATAAATTGCAAGGCCATATCTAAGAGCATTGCAAGAACCTCTGCTTTGCCTTAACCCTGGTGAAAACCTTCCACCTCCTGCCCTTCCTGGGATGTTGCTGCCGGTTCCCAATCTACAAAATACCAACTAATCCCCTGACAGAGCTTTGTTCTAGGCATGCACTAGCCAGAAAACATAGCAACACAGGACCTTGTGCATCAGCAGCATCCCATTAATTGCGTGTTCTTGCTTGCAGACCATGAGCCTGCCCACCTTCATCCACCCCCTAAGTGACTTGCAAGCTGTCGCTTGCTTGCTGCTTCTTCTCAGGAAATATCCCAGCCCGCGGCTAGGTTTTACTGTCCTTGCATTGTGCCCTCTTCTCTCTCCATCTCTGTCCATTCAGAAGTGTTAATGTTATTTCAAAGGAACCGGGGGGGGAAAAAAAAATCCAACGTAGACCGTATATTTTTTATTTGATAACTTGGGCCAATGTGGCAGACTCGTTTGCAATGATTTCATTTTATAAATGTTTATTTTTATATTTCATGTAACAGTCAATTTTTACTGCTGAAAATGCTGGGAGTTTTTTGGTGAGTTTCTTCCTCCCTTGCATTCCACCAGGCTGTATTTATTGTTGTGAAATGGGTCTCCAGTGGGGATTTATGTACTGATACTTCTACAAATAACCTAGTCCAGGCCCTGCTGCTTGTCATTTGGTGCACTTGTGAAAACTGGATGGGAAAAATCTTGCCAAATCAGACTGTGGTTTTGTGGGCAAAATAGTGATTCTATGTGCAAGGCAAGGAGAAGTCAGCAACTAGGAATTCAGCCCTCCCTGGATTTCTGTAGCTGACTGTGGATTTTCTTGCACTGCAGTTGGCTGCTGCAACTTCTGTCTTATCTTAATCAGGGAAGTCATTAAGTCCCTGAGCCTGCTGACATCTGAAGAACCTGCTAATTCAGGGAAGATACTCGGGAGTGTGGGAGTTGTTGGCTTCAGTAGGAGCGGATAGGCACTAGATGGTGAGAGTGTTCTGGCTGACCTGCTTGCAACTTGGGAAAGTCCAAAGGGCATCCCAAAGCCTAGACTGTGATGTTGCAGGGTCTCCTTATGAGCCTCTTCTGGATTGCCGAGATATCTGTCCCTGGCACTGAGAAGAGGGAGGCCAAGGGAAGGATCCCAGGAGCATCTGGTGTTTCTGCAGATGCCTTCAGAGAGAGCTGTGCTTTAGGGGCTGTTCAACTCTTATGTTCCACTCCCCTTATTCTTAATTTTATTCTTACTCCTTGCCTCAGTTACAAGGGTTAGCAAATAACAATCTTTTTCCCCATTTTGTTTTTTATAGCCTTTCTGAAGAAGGAGGCCCTGAGGTTATGTTGGAAAGGACCTGCCTACACCTAGAGAGATCAACTTAAAATCAGTAACTGAGGAAAGCCTATAGTAAATAACTGTATGGATAATGAACTATTCCTCTAACAGGCCCTGTGGGCCTCATACAGTCAGCAGGCTAGAGACTTCCTAAGCCAAACATTGCAACTGAGCTTGCACATTTAGCAGCTATGTTGGGATCCTCCCGCAGCCCCAGTGAAGTCAGCAAGTGTGAGTTAAGGTTGTGGATCAACAAGGACCCAGTTCGCCTTGGGGCTCAGTGGCCCCAGTTTTGCTGAAGTCAGGGAGATGCAGCAGCGCAGGCCAGATGCAAAATCAGCACCTCGCATGTGCGTCCCTGGAAAGGGGCGCATTAAAGTCATTGTTTTAAAAAGATCCAACGAGAGCAATATTTCCTTTCCAAAACATTTTAATACCTTACACTTTTTGCTGTCTTTTGCCAAGTCTTTGTAGCTTTGCCTATGGTTTTGTTCTAGATTTAAAGTATACCTAGGCTATTTTGACTCTATATGCATTTCTCACTGTGCGTGTTAATAAGACAACCATAGTCACGTGAGAAGCTTGTCACCATGAAACCTTGTCCCTTCCTTACCTCCATAGCAGGCACATCCCACCAGCAAGAGCTCCTCCAGCTTCTCACCTCTGTCCGAAGCACAAGGACCTGCAGAGGAGAGGGCAGCGAGCCGAGAGATCGTGCCTTACGTGCGGGGACGCTCCGTGTCTCCAGTTTAGTCTGATCTGAGTCACCTTGCTATGAAACACTGTCTTAATTGTGGACTGTGCAGCTTCCTGCAGCGAGGAGCGGTAGTCATCGTGGGGATGGATCCAGCAGGGTCATCTCATGGGTTTTGGGGGAACTTTATGGTTTTGAATTTAGTAGGGGGAAAGGAGAATGCGAGTTGTTAGGGGGTGAGATTAAGTCTTTCCGTTGGATTTCTCCCATGGGGAGGAGAGAGAAAAGTTACAAATTGCTGCAGTCTGCTTCACTCTGTAAAAGGGATCTTATATGTACAGTATTTTTATATCTCTGCATTTCCACCTGCCAATCTTGGAATCAGAATTAAGAACATCTCTCAGTTAGGAATTTTTTCTTTTTTTTTTCTTCTTTGTAAGTTTTCATTTTGTGCCAAATTGCAGCCACTGTTACATTTTCTCAGTTTGTCATAAACTCAGTTCATTGCTAGTGATCAATGTGTATATTATATATATTTTTTATTATCCAGGTTTTTATTTTAATTCCTGTTAACCTGTATGCAAGCTAACTGTGGATTGCTAATTTATGTACGAAGCGGGGCTCGGAGGCGAGGGGAGCAGCCCCTGCTCGGTGCCGCGGCGCAGCCGGGCTGCAGAGCACCCGCCGCTGGCACCGGACGTTCCCCGGGGCTCTGCGGGGCGAAGCCGTGCCCGCTGCCGGCCTCGTGGCACTCGCTGGTGCTGCAGGGTGCCCTGCAGGCAGCAGAGCACAGCCCCTGGGCACGCACTGATGGGCAACGGGGTTGGCACCTTGGCCGCCCTGCTTGCGGCAGGGGCACCGGGGGAGCAGCCGCAGCAGCAGTTGTTGTAGTTTGGGGTGACTTTGGGGTGACTTTAGGGTGACTTTGAGGTTTACTCTGCCCAATCTCCTCTCCCAGGAGCCAGGTGAGGCTCTTGGGATGCTGCTTGTCTAGTTTGGCAGCAGCTTTGGGAGCTGTGTGGGGGATAGCGCCAAGGCACAGCAGTGCCCCTCACACCCAACGCACCACCACGCAGGTTCTCACTGCTGCGTGCAGGTGCCACACGGGCTGCTGTGCCCACGGCAGGCCACAGCTGCAGATTTTTGTCAGGAGATCACCCTGCCCTCGGCCTTGGGGTTGGACATTTCCTCAGCTGCCTTTTCCCCTTGGGTAGCACAAGGCTTAGGCCGTGCAGCTTGGACTCGTCCCAGGAGAGGACACTGGCGCACACGCAACTGAGTGTTTTCTACTTCACGGTAAACAAGTTTCACTGTATCAGTGTTCGCTCTAAGTAGACTCCACAGTGTGTCTCCAGCTGCCTCTGTGCACTGCAATATAGTTAACTTCCTCAGAGAAATACCTGCAGTTGTCGAATTTAGCTCTTTAGGGTAGACTTTCAGCCTGTGGAATCTAAATGTTAGCCATAGGATGTGACGGATTAGCCAAATGGTTTAAATTCCTCAGAGCTGCAAGTTTACTCTGTGTTGCAACAGCTAATCCTTAATTGCAAATTACGCACTGACAATAGTCCATCTATGCAAGCCTTCTTGTTCTTATTTTGAGCGTTCACTATAATTTTACCATTTGGCATAGAGCTTCTGAATGACATTTAACCAAAGTATCATGTCTGTGTGTGTGAATAGCATGTTTTGCTTCATACCCCCGAATTCATTGAATGTAAAGAGAACATTGCCTTGCCCCATCTTGTCAATAAACCCTTGTCTTTTGTAATCCACCACATCTGTCTGGCCCTGCGTGTGCTTTTCTGGGAGCAGTGAACCGGGTCCTTTTCCACCCATGGTGACTCAGAAGGTCTTCCTGCTGCATGCTCCACTTCGGTTTGGTTACACAAGGGCAAGGGAAAATGGTGCTTTGTTCCAGCCTTGCTTCCTGGAGTTTAGCTTCTTCTATCAATAATTATGTTCTTCCAATCTAATAGATGTAGCTTAATGACAATTTGTATTTGACTATTTCATGGTTAGAGCAATGGAAGGAGTTGTATATTGTTGTGGAAGGAATTTGGACTGTTACATATCCTGAGACTGTGATACTGAAAAATAAAGCAGTGTACTTATTCGCAAGGGTAGGTCATTTTATTTTTTTACTAGCAGAGCTTCTGGTTTGCAAAATGCCTGCCTGAAGCTTCCTGAGAACTCAGACCTACAGGGGCGCGATGAAAGGCGAGAAGGAAGCGTGACAAATGTCCTGTGACTGAGTGACGTCTTCCCAGGCAATTAGGAGAGGATGCCAGCGACACACAACTCCAACACCATCGACACGAAGCCAGATCCATGTCACGAATTCAGCTCATAACTGAACAGGCTAAAATAAATGTGAGGTTACTAAATATAACGCGAAGAGATAGAGACCAACCTGTTAGCTGTTTTTAAAGGCTTATTTACTGCCTGAATTCCTCCTTTTTGGTGGATGCAGCCATTGCCGAGGTAAGCACCATGCTGCTCCCATCCCAGAGCTAGTGGCCTGTGCCAGGGCGAGTGCTCTGAGTGCAGCACAGTTTGGTTTGGGGCTTGATAGAGCAGCCCAATGTGCTCAAATTTACATCTTTACCTCACAGCAGCTATATTGTAGGGTCCCTTTAGAATCTGTCTCTAGGAACTGGCTAGCAAAAGAGTCTGACAATTAAAAATCTCAGGACAAGACTATCAAGGGTGAGAGCCCTGCTGTATATAAAGCACTTGGGTTGGAAATGCCAAGAGCCCTGCCAACTTGCGGTTTATTGTTGTCTGAAGCATTTGGGTTGGTCTGTTTTCTTTGAAAACCTTCTTTCATGCCAGCCCTGGCTCTTGTTTAAGTGCTAGACTGAGCTGGACTCTGGTGCAAGGGGGATGAGGTGCCAGGGAGCGTCTTTTGCAGTATAAACAAGCACAGAGAAGGGTTAGACATGGGCACCATGAGGGGAGCATTTAAGAGCTGCTGCTGACTTTGTCCCCTAGCAGAGACCACGCTGATTTCTAGGTTTATGCCTCTTGGGCAGGGCTTGAGTTGTCTAAGGAGGTATCGCGCTATTGGTGATGGGTTCAAGCTTACCAGCTATCTTCCAACCATGAGAAGAGGGTAAGTTGGCAAAAATTGCTTCAAGCCACGGTTGCATCTCTTCGGATGTTCTAAAATTGGATGAAGGAAGAACAGAAGAGAGGGCGAGTGCTCACTGGAAGCTCACAGTAGAAAGCAAGGAAAGAGCAGGAGAGGAAACCCTTCAGACCCATGGTCGCCAAGAAGTGCTCGCTACCCAGGTGGGTAAACAACCCAAACTCCGTGTTGAACAGTAGCAGCCCCACATCTCATTCCTTGACACCATCCAGCTCGCAAGTGGCAGCTCCTGGCACTGATGGCTTCTCTCAGGTCAGAGGTACACGTGTCCATGTCTTTGCCCTTTCACAGAGGCAGCATCCTAAGTCCCACTGATTTTTATCCTGCTTTATCCCAGCCAGAATTCCTAGCACAGTTGATAATAAAACAGAGATTTAAGTGAGACCTAAGAGGCTCTGAGTGCAGCCACAAACAGCCTCTAGCTGGTGCTGCAGGTTCCAGACTGCCAGCTGGTCTCCAGGCTTGTGTCAACCACATCACAAGATGAGACACTGTGACAGTTTTTCCCTGGCTATTTTATATTTGGATGCTGTCTGTTAAGCCATGGTTGACATATACAGTGCCTCATCATGAGCAAGAAGAGCACGTGCGTTTCTCGCTAGGATGCTCCGCACCCAGGTGAGCCCGTGCAGGAGCCTTCTGAGGCCTCAGTGCTTGTAACTAAAGAGAGCAGCACCCTGCACCTCCTGGTCAAGAGGATCCGCTCGCACCAGGAGCAGGGACATCTCCCCTGCTTGGTGTAGATGGAAACCACAGGTCCATTTTTCCCCCTTTACCTAGCTTGATTTGTTGGAGAAGGGAAGGGACTAGGAAGCCCAGCTTAATGCAGCACAGCTGCGGGAGAGGCCTGGTCGGCTGGTCCCAGCAGGTTTCAAGACCCACAGACTGCTCATTTTAATTTGGAAGTCGCTTTCTGCTTGGCTGGAAACATCGGTTTGTGTAAATATTCTGCCTGTTTGCTGAAGAGCAGGTGTGCAATCAGAGCAGGTGTTCCCTGGGAGAGAGTGAGGTAAAATGAAAAGCGTGTGTCTGAGCACCTGAAACGAGGGAAGATTTCACCATCTGGGTTACCAAACCCACCGCGACCCAGACTAGCTCACCTGAATTCTGAAAATGCTCTAAATGATCTTCTTACCTGAAAAATCAGAGGATTGGAAGTTCTTTCAGAAATGAGTCCCAAATCATTTAAATACAACTTATTACCATTGCAATTGGTGGCTGGCATATTCACGTAAGCAGCCTCAGCCCGTCCAAATTGTAACTCTGTGAGGTTTGGACCTGTCCTAAACACAGGTCAAGTGCGTGAGCACAGCTCAGGCCTGGAGCAATGTGAGCCTAACTAGTCGCACGTAGGGCTGCACTGCTCCTGATTTTGACTAAGACTCCACCACAGCTAACCTTGCTACCTCTGCAGAATAGAAATGGAGCCACCAGCTCCAACGCAGGTGCTTTGGTGCCTTTGCCTTCACTTTCTTCAGCTGATCTCCTCGTGAGTGGAGTCCCCCTCAGGATCAGGGCCAGTCACTCTGTGCTTTGTCTTAATTTTAAGCTAACTTTTTCCCACCGAAGTCAGTTCAAGTGTTTTCTCTGGACTCGGGGACCATCCACAGCAACACATTTTATACCATGGCTCTCTCTAGTGGCTGGACTGTAGAAAAGGGAGAGACTGGAGCTTCTCCTCGGCTCTGCATCCCAAGCAAGAGATCGGGGACTTAGTGCCAAGGGCCGGGGGGGTTCAGCTGCGCTGGCGCCTGCAGCAGAGAGCAGCGGGGCAAGACGGGCTGAGGCTGCTTACGTGAATATGCCAGCCACCAATTGCAATGGTAATAAGTTGTATTTAAATGATTTGGGACTCATTTCTGAAAGAACTTCCAATCCTCTGATTTTTCAGGTAAGAAGATCATTTAGAGTATTTTCAGAATTCAGGCCCTTGTCCCAGCAAAGCCTCCTGCATGGGCTCCTGAAGCCACAGGGCAACAGGAAAATAAAGCACTAATGCATCTCTCCTCGTCCCAGCTGCTGGGTGTGCCAAGGCAGGAGTTGAACTTGGGACAGGTAAATGGAGAGTGGCTCAATCCTGCAAGTCCTGGGAAGCACAAATGGGCACAGTTAGATCAAGCCTTAATGATCTGGTGGATCAAATCAAGCTCGCTTTGCACTGTTTAGCCAGGACCAGGCCATGGTCGCTCATGTGGGAGCTGTGTCACACAGGTTGGGGGCAGATGTGGGGTTTGCTATCTTCATCTTAGCATCTTGCTTTCCTGCTCACCCTGGCTAGGAGCCCCAGCAGCAAGGATTCCTTGTCTAGCTTTGCCAGGGATCATTGCAGACGTCTGGTTGCTGGCAAGGCTGGCAATAGCCATCAGCACCTAAACTATGGATTGCTTTCAGGATCACGTATTGGGGCATTTCTTTTGGCAGGACTACACTATAGAATTGTAAAACTTGTTAAAATCATTTGCCAAAAATACAGATTTTAAAGAAATATCATTTATGTGGCAAAGCCAAAAAAGGAAAAATCAGGAAATATTAAGGCTGAACCTGCACAGGCAATATTTATTTAGCCCCTTTGCCCAGGTGAGGTTAATGACAGAATCAGTGCTCTCTGCCCACCATTTAACCTCTCAGGGCTGGTTTGTGCCTGCTGGGAGATGAGGAGTGATCAGTGCCTGGTTTGTGCTTGACCTACCTGGCCCTTTCACATGAGGAAAGCTTTAGTCTGGGTTTCTGATGGATTTAGACTTCTCTTGGATTTTACTGTGAGTACTTGGTTTCCTCTTCCCCTTTTCTTTCCCCTCTCTTCCTTACCCATATGGTAAATATGCTAATTTTTTTCTTCTTCTCTGACTATGTGTGTTCTAGCTACTAACATGCAATACATCATTGTGTGGCTCCTTAGGGAGAGATCTGTCTGGCTCGCAGCACCTTGGTGTGTGCTGGAGAGCTTCTCCTCACTATGCTGTGAGCGAGACCTCCGCAAAAACTGTGGCCCTGCTTTCTAAAGGGGTGTATGTGGTGCACAGAGATGCTGCTGGGAGCTGAGTTTTAGTCATGTGGATGCTTTTGGGGAGGATTGTTTTTGGGGTTTTTTTTTTCTTTTTTTTTTTTTTTTTTCCTATCCGTATGGTGCTTTTAGTAAGCCATGCTGCAAGCCTGCAGGCCAAGCAGCTCCTTGGAGGCCCTGTCTTGCAGCCTTCCCTGTGAAGGCTCCCAGAGTGGCTGGATTTACAGTACTGCAGTGACAGGGTGCAGCCCGTAGCAGAGATGGCCCTTGTACCCAAGCTCTTGTTCTGTGCTGAACATGACTGTTTTAAGGCTCTTGTTGAGTTACCCGTCCTCTGTAGGAGAGGTATCTTCTAGTAAAACTCAAGGCTCGTGTTTTGGAGGGGCGAAAAAAATAGAAAGGGATTTTCCAGAACCGAAGGAACTTTCCTTCTGCTAGGGAGCTCCCAGGTTCACTGAATACAGAAGTAGAAAATACATGACTGCTAAAAATGGATATTATTTGTATTACAAGGGTTTCCTGAGCTTTTCTTGACGCTGCACGAACTTGAAATGAAAATAAAAAATCTTTGCCCTAGATGGGTGGGTTGTGTCTTTCTAATCTCTCAGCTGAAGCCAAGGATAATGGCTACAGGTAACTGTCCATGTGGCTATAGGACATCTCCCTTGCCAGAGTGTGGGGAGGAAAGAAGGTAAAATAAAATAGGAATAGCAGGAATAAAAAAAAAATAATAATAAAAGGAATAGGAATAGCTGTTCTTACTGACATTCGCTTCTCTCTGTATTTACCTCTGTGCAAAAGTACTGCAGTGTTTATTTGCATCGTTCACGTGGATTTAAGCACATAACTGTTCTTGGATCTTGCCCTCCTCCTTTTTTTGCAGTGTTTACTCATTACAGCTTAACTGGGTTCTGTAT